AGCGTTTTCAGAGTGGTGACATCCCATGTGGTTGCAATGGGAACCTCTGCTGAAGTGCAGGTAGCCAGATGTAGGTCATCCTACAAGAGGCATGATTTTTGTGCTTTGTTTCTAGGAATAGCATGCAGCCCAACAATCCTGGGGAGGAACTAATGGAAAACAAAGCTGTGCTGCTTTCTCTTCTGTACTTACTTTAAAATATGTATATACAAAGTCAGGGTTTGACAACTCAAATTATTGCAACTTAGCTTCATTAAAAAATGTTCCGATAATGAGCATAGCTTTAAATTGATTCATATGATGCTGACATGTACTTGGCACTTATTTTTTTTCATGCTGTAAATCATTGGGAATGAGGTCTTACAATCAAGCTGTGTTGTGAGATGGGGTCCTTTGGCCAGCACAATGGAATTGTGGTCCCTAACACAGCTAATGAGTAGCAGTTTTCATCTAGGTTGGTGCGGAGTCAGGTCCTTAAGTGACATAAGCTGGTGTAACTTCATTGAATTCAAAAGTTATATTCTAAAGGCTCATATAACTCCTCTATCAGGGAAGCAGAGTTTAGACCTCAGTTAAAGGAAGACACAGGCTTGCAAAGCAGGACCATAACAAGTCCATCAGATAACACCTGCACGTAGTGCTGACCAGGGTGAGTATTTGGATGGTGATGCTCAGTAAAGAAAGGTTTGTCATTGCATGTCAATCTGTAGCTCCACTGGGAGCCACCCTGTCTGCTGGCCTGTGCTGGGTGCAGAGCATGCAGTCAGGAAAATGTGAAACAGCTCCTAGGAGAAGGTCCTGACCAGTTTTTGATCCTGATTTTATATTAGTATGCGCCAGCCGGCAGTAGGTAGATATGGTTGGAAAACTGTGCTCTACAGCACTGTTACGTAGCAAGTGACAGACACAGGATTTCAAAATAAGTACAGACTATAAGGAAATTGAACACATGGAAATCTCAGAGCAAGTCCAAAGTATCCACACAAGGAGGAAACAGGTGATTGCAGCATGAATGAAAAACTTATCACAGTTTTTGCGCATTTTGCTTTCACATACGTACACACGACTCTTACATCCTGGGGACAAAAAGAGGGGTTTATTTATTTATTTTTTTTTCCTGAGAACCATCATGATTATAATTTCAGTGCATGTGCTATTGCTGCTGACTGTGGTTCATACCAGCGTGTTACTGCCTTTTCATATCTCTTCTATACGAGAAGAGTTTTTTTTTCCTCTTCCCCCCTCTAAGCTTTCTACTCAATGCAAATTTGGAGGCAGCTTGTTGCATTATGCATTTCACTTTCAAAGCAGAAACTGTCTGTCTGAAATAATTTTTAAAATGTACCTTGGGGAGAGAGATGTATGCTGGGAGGCAGAGATTTCAGAGATTGTATTTTGGAAAGGGGCCTTGTTGGTTTAGTAGATGTATATTGTTGGTCACTGATTTCTAGTTAACATACTGGGAAAAGGTTAATTTGATTAGAAAGGATTCGATGTATAATCTTTCATCAAAATGCATCAGAAACTAGAACTTCTGTGTTTAACGAAAGCATTAAAGTTGCGTAGAGAACAGATTCAAAATTGATGCCCTTTAGGGGAGCAGAACTAGAGACATTTTTATAAAGAAAATAGCTATCAAATTGTCTGCAATGAGTAACACTGTTAGGAAATGGAGATTAAATACCTCCTCTTTATTGTTCCACCAGCTATTCAAGATTTTTCCCTGTTTGAAGACTAATATTATTAAACTAGATTTTACCCATTATTTCTCAAAAAAATTAAAGTAATATGTTGCTTCTGACATCTGAGCAGTATAGAAAATTTAACTGGCAAATCAATTTTTACTCATCTTGCAGTGGATATCCTTTCCCTTCTTTTAATCTAAAATAACCTTTCTTTCAGAAAATGGTGCTTGTTACAGGGTTTAAAAAAGCATTTTGTGAAACTTTTATGTAACCGAGGCACCCTAAGTTGCAAGGGCTACCAGATAAATCCTCTATTTTGCAGAGCAGCTCAGGATTGAATAAGCTGTATGAAGTTGATTGTAAATTATGTTGCAATATCAAATAAATATGGGTGTACTTTATAGGCAGTAGAGAATCATGTCCATGTGCATATGGCAGATGTCATTCTGAATTAGTCATGGGGGGGGTCATGCCCGAGAGGTAGATTCCTGTGATGTTGAAGGGATCACTGTGAAATTTTTAATACTAGTGCAGTGTGATTACTTGTTCTCTTTTTTCATTTAATGTAGTCGCTTATTCCACCCCAAGTTGCAGTCTGAACACTGCTATACAGACCCTTTTTATCCCTTGTTACCTTTTTCCACCTGAGAATGGAGGGATTAGTTACATCTATCAGATCTGTTTTCATTGCTACTGCACTGTATTTTCACTTTGCGTGTAGACTTGAACGCGGTGCGTATTTAACTGTGAACAAACAGAATAGTTGAAAGTGTCTGTGGTAGTGTTTTGTCAAAACCAGCCTCCCAGAATCAGTATTCCAGTATTTCTGCCTTGCACGATGTCTCTAATCGTTATCCTAGGTGCTTAAAAATGTAGGTACCCAATATCCATAGCCTTAAGTAATGCAACTATTTCTCCCATTTAGAGTTTGAAATTGTTTGGCCTTGTTCTTGCTTTTGGAACTAATCAATGATACTGTCCCGAGGTATCTTTAAGACCTCAGTGCACACTCTGATGCTTCTGTATATTCTCATAATTCTGTTGGACATAGTGTAGTTACATCTTTAAATGACGGCTTACACTGCTGAGAATTCAGGATCTTGGGCAGTCAGGTGAAATGTATCAGTGCAGCATCAAATTGAGGAATAATGGGGCCTGTCTGTCTGTGCCGACTTGTAGCTAGTGAGGCTCTGATCTTCTTTCCTCCTTTTCATTTAGTCTAATAAATTGGTTCTATGCATGTTCATTTTTTCAATACTTATGGAAGATTTTGTGGAAAAATTTTAATAGGTATAGCCTATATGAAATAAAGTTACTATCTTTTTTGATAACAGTTGCATTATGTTTTCGAAAGAGTGAAAAATGAGAGGAAAGAATGGCATGTAAGTTCACAGCAGTGTCTCATTCTCCCTCCCTGTCTGAACTGACTCTGCCTCAGCTTTGTCCAGCCCAACCTCCTTTGGCTCCGATCATCTCAAGTTAGCAGGACCATTCAGTTTCTGTGCCTGTTGTACCCTAAGTCCTTTGGCTTTTGGTTCAGTGCCAAAAGTGGTGATGTTTTTACGCTCCACATCCCTGTCCACAGGAAGCTCAGATGATGTGTCCCAGCAGAGACTAGAGCAGGTTTGGTCATTGCCATCAGGGGGGTAGCAAGGAGAACCTGAGAAGATAAGCTGGGTGATGATGGCTGTTTAGCATACAGTAGTTTCCTGGAACTGTACAGGTTTCCTTTTCTCCCCATCCCTGCACAAACATACTGAACTGCTTGGTCCTAGGAAGAAAAGTTTTTTTTAGAGCTATAATATGGACTGTGGCCAGCTCTGATATAGAATGTTGCCTGCACAACACAGAATATTTTAGTGAAGGGGGAGGGCCAAATTACAGTATGCGTCCAGACAGGAGGAATGCAGAAGGATAACTGGATACACTTCATGCAGAATAATTACACAATAATATAACAATCATGTACAACGGGTAATGATTTTAGGAAAAAAAAAAAAGTGAAAATACAGGTTTAATTATGACCATGTGCATGTTTTTGGAAGAATATTTTTTTCTGTTGCGAGGCAGCTCTTGAGTGAGAAATTCGCTCCCCTCCTCTCCACCCTGCTGAACCAGTGTGGACTTTCCCTCCCTGGTAACTCCTAGAATTTCTGCAGCTCATTATCTATCTGCTGTTACCAGGATGCCATTAACTATCTGATGACTTCTCTTGTTGTTTCAGGTAGAAGGTGCCACACTGCAAGCAATACTGTTAAAATTAAACCATGTTGTACTCAAATGACCAATTAGGTTTTTGGAACAGGATGCTCAAGAGCTTAGTATATGCCAAAATATTTTCTGTGTACAGAATGTAAGCCCGTTTCGGGGCAAGTCCAGCACTAGAAAGAGCACATTTCCATTTTCCAATTGTGCTGTTATGCACGCTGTTAATCTGGGATTATATTGATTGATAGTCCTGTAAAAACAGCACATATGTCAGATATTAGATAAATATGTCAAATCAGTAGGTACCTTCCTGTAGTGTCAAGGATTTGCTGGTACGTTGCTCGTGAGCTTGATTTTTCTGAGCTGGCTGAGGCAGGGAGGAAACAGAAAAGTAAAGAAACACTGTCAGTAACTGCCAATGTATGTTGTTAGTGCTGAAGTTTTCAGGCATGGTTCTTGTATTCTAGTCTGATCTAACTTGTTCTTACTGTCAAAAGTCCTCAAAGTTATTTTCCTCACCAGATCTGTGGGACACGGAGTGGAACACACTTGCAAGGCCCACTTCTCGGTATATTCTGTGTATCTGAAGGAGACATAAGGAGGTTCTTTGATTAATCTGTATCATGGAGAGAATTCACAGCAATCTCTTGCATTTTAGTGCAGTCCAGAGCAGAAGAGGGGAAAGAAAGGATTCCACAGTAGTTTTGGATAGAGGATCTGTCTGCACATATGGCAGGAAACACGTAGACTCTCTGGTCATCAGGTTGCTTAAAAAATTATTTCCAGTAATAGAATATACACAATTTATGCTTTATGTGGGTTATACTACTCTGAATGTTACTGCTTTATTGAAGAGATACTCAAACAAGGAATTTGTGAGCTTTTAAATATGAATCTAAATCTTTCTGTATGATGATTATCTTAAATTTCATGTGTCATTGCAGAAAGGAGATTGTATATTACACTTCTACTTCTGTTTTTATCAATTCAGTAATCTTACATTTATCTTTGGTATTACTGATTGTTTTGAAACACAATGTTGGTACAATACCCAAGTGAGCAGTGGGTTTTTTATAACTAAACTATGGTGAATCTTTTCTCTTACAGAAGCTTTGACGTTGGACTGCATCGCTTTCTGGTCAGGTAAGCTAATGTTTGTTTTGAATTGCAATTCTATATTAAAAAACATTTCTTATAATGCTACTTGTTATTTTCTATGGCAAGATTCTCTTTAGTCTTCTATTTATATGTTAGTTTGAGAAACTTTAACTATTTGGCTTGGATATCTACCCAAGTGTCATTCAGGAAAACCTTGACTCAGGAAATTTCAGTGGTAATGTTCCACTCATTCCTGAGGAAATCTTAAGTTTTCTCGCACTGAAGAAAAACTTCTTAAAGTTTTTTTTCCACTGGAAACTCAAGTACCTTCGCATCTTCTAATGGGAACTTGAATTTTGTAGAAAATTTAGATTGTGGAGGGGATTCTTTTGTTTTTCTCATTAAAAGCTTGATTGATTCAATGCTTGGGGTGGACTGTGTTCTGATGATGAATAAGGAAAGTGGAATAATTGTTGCGTGCTTTGTTTGCTGACATTTAGAGGAGTGCAGTGATTAAAGCAGAACTGTTCAACAAGAAAAGGGAGGTTAATGCATTTGAATGTTTCACCGAGGAACTGTTTTTTGCTGTTGGGAGTTCTTTTGTGTGAGCAAAGTCGCGGGTGTTCACTAAGAATGTGTTTGCATTCATTTTTGATAACTACCTTTCACTATCTACTGATCTTTATAAAAAAGTGTGATGTGTACCATGAAAGATGAAGTTTGCCATGGTCATCAGGCCCTTAGAAAATACGTTCTGTCGGTTATTTCATCCCACTGAAATGTTGCAATATCCACCTGTGAAGAACTTTACCTTGGACGAATGAACACAGTATATGAGCCAGAGCATGCTTTTTGGGTCCTACTGTAAGGATCAGGTGATCTTAGTCTTCCCTTGATTTGGCCTTATTACTGAACTCATATTTTTGGCTACTTTGTCGTATTTCCTGGGCAAAGACTCTATTAAGCCTTCACACTCACAAATCCTTAATGCAAAGGTTTTCAGCACTGATTCACAGGGTCCCAGAACTCTAACTCCTGATTTGCTGGTCACTCCTGATTTGCTTTTCAATCCTCTGGTTGCTTACTTGAAGCATGTATTTTTTATTGTTTTCAGAACCCTGCTAATAGCTGTTGATTGTAGCTAGTACAAGAAGCCTGCAGCTCCAGACAGGATGATAAATGCCTATCTCAGATCCCCCTTTCAGATTAATCTTCTCCCCTAGGTTATCAGTACCATGGCAAAATCCAGGAAAAAAATAGTAATTCTCTGCCCAGGTTCTGGGTGCCAGTAATACAAAGCGTATATCTTAAAGGGAAGAATACAAGGTAGTATCATATTGAACACCATGCTTTTGTGGTTTAAACATAAAAACATGAAAGAGATGGGATCACACAAAGCCTGTGTCACAGGGAAAGTCAGGTTTGTTTTAAGGTTGTGCAGGAAAACCCCCATCCTGACATTTCATAACCTTTGAACAGTAGGCTTTGTAACATTAGGATGATCTTATGTATTTCTTTGCGTGCAACATGACAACATGACAGCTTTTAACAGACAACTCTCTTCACTAAAGCCACAGTGTCAATATTACTGAAGATATGTGTATTTCAGTCTGTAGATACAGTTACTACTGAAAGTATTTAAGTTCTGGTATCTGTTCTATAAAATCAGTTGCATCTATATTTTGACCAGCAGTTTGATTTTTTAATTTTTTTTAATAATCATGTAAGAAATTGAAGTCACCATGTTAAGAAATTGTTTAAAAATATGCTACTATTGTAAAGGAATACAGTGCACAATAAGGTCTTCTGGAGATGTGGACAACTCCTTAATCAAGAAGAGAATCGTGATAAGCATTGATGTACTAAGTTTGAGCCCCTGGTAAAGCTTCTGCCACAAAATTTGCTTTCACTTGCTTCATATGAAGAAGTAGTAAGATATTATTCTCTTATACTGTATTGTTTTACATCCTGTGGAGATGCAGTATTGGAATTGTATGCTCATGCAATCACTGGACCGCAAATCGCCATTGAATTTGAATGAGTTGAGTGTCACCTTTGACTAATGTGCCATTTTTTTCAAAGCCCACTATGGTTTCTCTGCAGTGTGGTGTTCTAACCTTAGACAGCTTTAATACTTAATTCTCAGTCTGTCACCTACCCCTGTTAACAACTTGGAGCCATCAGATACTTTTTCTGTAACTGTGCTGCTGAGGAAGAAATATTATTCCCTTCTGTTGCAGCAATATGAGTTTTGCTTGGATTTTCTTAACTAAAAAAAACATTCCCCTTTGTTTAGTAGATGAATTTTGGACTAGGAAACAGAGGACTTGGTGTTACATCTCTGTTGTTGGTCTGCCATGTGACCTTTAGAAAGTTATTGCCTTTGGTTTTGCCTATTTAGACAGTCTCTGCTCTTGAGAACTTGCAGTTCTTCTCTTCTGTGTTCACATAGTATCTGTCATAAATGGTTCTCTTCACAGTTTGGGTTTCTATGTGTGAAATACAAACAGTGGGGGAAAAAACACCCAACACAAACCCCAACAAAACCCAAACAAACCAGAGTTGTAGGAAGTGTTGAAAATCTATGAATGAAAATTTTAAATGCTCAAGAGATAATTCATTGTTTTAAATAGAAAGATGCCACCCTAAAGTGGAACAGGGAAAGAAGCATTACACTTTCAAATGTAAAAGTGAGGCCAACAGCAGTAAACCCAGTCTCTGCTAAAAGGTCAATCTATGCCTAATTACTCACTAAAATACTGATTGAAGGCACTAGAACAGTCCGTAGCCTGGCATACACAGTCAATGGCTTGCCCGAGTGAAGCCTGACACAAAGTATGACACAATTACAGCTACACAGCTTCTTCTGTGTTCTTATGAAAAAAAATAATTCTGTCCATCCATCTAGCTGTGGCTTGAACCACAAGCTGTGGCTTCTGATGGTTCAAATAGCTCAGAAAGTTTTAAAAATCCCCTCTTTTAAAATTTATTTGTTATTGAAAAGCGTATATCGTATTGAAATGGCTAATTATGTGGTGTGTACTGGTTTGGGCTGAAACGGATTGTAGGACTAGATTTCTAATCATTTGCTTGCTAAAATATGGTGGCATCATGGACTTACTATATGTGAAATTAAAGTGTAAGTATGTTGGGGTCTGGGCCTTGAACATTTGTTAGGATCCCCACGTGTTTAAGCAGGGATGCTGGAAATTCATGGGGAAAAGATCAGTAATTTCATGATGAAAATTGAGTTTTGATACTCCCCATTAAAAATGTACTACTGCACTTGAAAGGCCATTTGCCCACTGTTTTCACACACTGATATAAAAGAAAGCATTTGTTACTTCTTTTAGGATCAGCAAAATTATTAATCAATGTTGTTTAAATGACACAAGTACTATATAAACACAGTAATTTTTTTATTTGCCACTATAGGACAAATATGCTGTGTTTCCTAAACCTAGGCATTTTCAGAATGAAGCAATAAATGTATTTTCAGAGTTCAAAATGTGCAAAAATAGCCTTTGGGGTAGCGGTTCAGAGGGGAAAGAGCAAGAGAGGCTGCTTGGTACTGTTTGCTCACTGAAGCTATTTTATCCAGGCATTTCATCCAGTGCTGAGAACAGGGCATTGGATGACACAGAATTGTGAACATATGAGAATATTTACTGTCTTAATGCCAAACAGTGCTTCCTTTAGGGTAGTGTCTATGAGGGCAGTAGAGAAGAGTGATGGTTCCTGGAGGCATGATCCTTTTGAAAAATCTCCACGCTTTCAGCACTGCTGTGCCTTTGAAAAAGTGTGAATCATACTGATTCCAGTACAGATCTGGCTTTGAAAAGAGCTGCAGGACCAGACACCCCCAGTGTCTCCCAAAGGTGTCCATCTGTTAGCAGCGCTGACAGCTCACCCCGTGGTTTGCAATTACTTCAGCTTGTTCAGAGTTGCAGGTTATTTAGGTTTAGCTTATTACCTGGTGCAAAGTGTCTCCAAATACAAAACTGGAAAATCATCCCCTTTTCTAGTTTTCTCAGGTGAATCAGGGCATAGTTTAGCTCTGGGATCAGAATTTAATATGTGTTGCCACCTCTATTGATTTTTAGTTAGAAACAGGGCACCTTCATGTAAGGGTAGAATGGTCCCATGGCAAAAGAGGGATTATAGTTCTAAATAGATACACTCCTGAAAGAAGATAAGTAAAAGTCTGTTCATCAGCTGGCTCAACTCCTGTTTTTGTTCTCTGTGGAATCCATAGGACCCCATGTATTTCCATGCTACCCAAAAGAAAAACAGAATAATGATGTTAATGAACTATCTGGTAACTGGTTTAAGTAAACTTTAAAAAAGTCATTTTTTTTCCTTGTTAATCTAACCTGTTCAGAAATGCACCACTGAGGTCAGTTTCTGTGAGGTCAAACTTTTCGTAAAGTGCAGACATTTTGTCCCAAAAGACATTACAGCTCTTTACTTAAGATAAGTCACTATCTAAGCATAACCCCCATGGGAAGTCTAGACTCACTGAAGTGCTCAACAATATTCAAGCCATCCCAAGCTGAAGAAATCTATGCCACTGCTTAAAAAAACCAAGCAGTTTTTGCTATTGCTGTTTCTCTTAAAATAAAATTTAAAAATCCAACATTCTCCCTCAACCAACAACGAATAAACAAGAAATCTCTTTCCCCACTTCCCCACACTCACCCCCAACCAAAAATAGCCACCACCAACACAACCCAACATATCTGAGCTTTATCGTCTCAAACACACCCAGGTCTTGGAAAGTCAACATCTGATGCAACTGCCCCTTTCAGTCTGTGTTGCATCCTTCCTCTAACTCCATTGCTAGAGAAGATCAGAGGTGGTTCTGGGCTCCAACAGCTAGACACAGGTTCTCTGCTGGGGTGCCACATGGGATGCAGCGTAAAGCAGAGACGGCTCTCACTTTGGGAGCCAAATACCAGTGCTAATGCTGTACAGTCTCGCTGCTGCTTTGAATGTGGCTGCTCATAAAATAGTATTGATGTTCCAATATAGTGTAGCTGGGCCAG